CTACCTACCTACCTACCTATCTAATCTAGGGCTCTTTATGTAGCAGGAACTCCTTTGTATATTAGGCGACACACCTCTAATGTAGCCAATCCTCCAAGAGTTTACAGAGCTCTTCTTACAGGGGCTACTGTAAGCTCTTGGAGGATTGGCTACATTAGGGGTGGGTCGCCTAATATGCAAAGGAGTTCCTGCTACAAAAAGAGCCATCTATCTATCTATCTATCTTCTGGTCTCTTTATGTAGCAGGAACTCCTTTGCATATTAAAGCGACACACCTCTAATGTAGCCAATCCTCCAAGAGCTTACAGTAGCCCCTGTAAGAAGAGCTCAGAAGATGATAGATAGATAGATAGATAGATAGATAGATAGATAGATAGATAGATAGATAGATAGATAGATGGCTCTTTTTGTAGCAGGAACTCCTTTGCATATTAGGCGACACACCTCTAATATAGCCAATCCTCCAAGAGCTTACAGTAGCCCCTGTAAGAAGAGCTCTGTAAGCTCTTGGAGGATTGGCCACATTAGGGGTGTGTCGCCTAAGATGCAAGGCAGTTCCTGCTACAAAAAGAGCCCTAGGTATCTGTAAGTCTATATCCTATCAGAGCAAATAACTGGAGGGGGTAACTTGGAAAAAAGAGGATGAGGGATACGTTATCTCCCCCCCCCCCACAGCACTGCCGCTATTAGCAGAGATGTAAACAGAAGGGACATCTGACCATGGATCACCAACCTCCCATCTAGCTCAGCTTTTGCACTGTCTATGTCAGGGGTCCCCGGACTTGTTGAACTTGAACTAACTAGTTTACTCGCTGTTAAAGCAGCACCTCTAATGCATTGTGAAACCTCATGCTCCTGTAATAAAATCAGTTCTGTTAGACATAAAAGGAAAGACTGACAGTGCAGCTCTAAGCAGAGCCACACCCTCCTAAACCCAGAAGGGTGTAACTCCGCCGAGGATCTGACTGTAACGCCGCTACCCAGGTGCAATTATATGCATTAAAATCAGTCATGTTGATGCATTAAATTAGGACTAATTAAACAACAAAAACACCGCCCTTGATGAATCCTCTGCGGAGCTTTGCTGTACAAGAAGGGCGGTGGATCTGATGTACGAGGAGCCATTACAGCTGCAGCAGTGCCACAGAGCTTTGTGTCATTAAAGCAGGGTCCAGTGGGCAAAACCAAGCCATACAACTCTCACGGAAAACTGCTTATGAAGATCAGAAGAGCCCTGCTGGATCGGACCAAAGGCCAGTGTAGAATGGAGCTTAGCCTCACCCCACCATCCTGCATTAAAGGTAAAGGTTCCCTTGCTCGAAAGCCAGTCCAATCCGACTCTAGGGTTGCGGTGCTCATCTCCGTTTCCAAGCCGAAGAGCCAGCGCTGTCCGAAGACGTTTCCGTGGTCGTGTGGCCAGCATGACTAAACACCAAGGCCCACGGAAAGCTGTTACCTTCCCACCGAAGTGGTACCTATTTATCTACTTGCAATTTCTTGTTTTCGAACTGCTAGGTTGGCAGGAGCTGGAACTAGAGACGGGAGCTCACCCCGTCATGCGGCACCCGGTTCTTGAACTGCTGAACTACCGACCTTCCATAACCTGCAGTTCAGCATCTAAACCACTTGAGCCACCACAGCTCCTCCATCCTGCATTGGCTGCCAGCAAAACATCCACACAGATCCGCTCACTCACCCCACAGTTTTCCCAATGAGTCAGATTAAAGGAAGTTTTTCTGTAAAATGGATCACTTGGAGAAAGACACGAGAACCCCAGAGGTAGTACCAACATAGGGCACAATGTTGTGCAGATACTCCCAAATAGACACAGGGCTTTCCTTTTATCCGCATGAGATACAATTCCCATTTGGAAGACTGGCTTCTGTTTCCGACAGAAGCCACCTTCTGAATTTTGTTGTAACCTCTCCGTTTGGTCACTGAGCCGCTAGCATTCTGTCTCTAGAACAAAGTTTGAGTCCAGTGGCACCTTGAAGACCAACGAAGTTTTACTCAGGGTATAAGCTTTCATGTGCACGAACAGTTCTTCTATAAAGTAACTGAAGAAGTGTGCAAGCACATGAAAGCTTATAGTAAAGGTAAAGGTTCCCTTGCTCGAAAGCCAGTCGAGTCCGACTCTAGGGTTGCGGTGCTCATCTCCGTTTCTAAGCTGAAGAGCCAGCGCTGTCCGAAGACGTTTCCGTGGTCAGGATGACTAAACACCAAGGTGCACGGAACGCTGTTACCTTCCCACCGAAGTGGTACCTATTTATCTACTTGCAATTTCTTGCTTTCGAACTGCTAGGTTGGCAGGAGCTGGAACTAGAGATGGGAGCTCACTCCATCATGCGGCAACTCGGGTCTTGAACTGCTGAACTACTGACCTTCCACAGCCTGCAGTTCAGTTCTTAAGGGTGCCCCTGGACTCAAACCTTGTTTCGCTGCTTCAGAGTAACATGGCTGCCTACATGAACCTCTTCTACCTCTAGGAATTCAGAACCATTCCAGCTGCCCTCTGGAGGTTATGCGACAGCCTGTAGACAGCATCTGTCTCCCCCCTGTCCTTGCTCTACTTTCCAAATCTCTTCTCCCATCAATGACTCTCCTTGCAGGGTCTGAGATTGTACTGTGCAGGTGTGCTATTCAAAAGCGGCACAAAATACAGAGAAGGAAGGGAAGAGAAGGTCTAGATTTAATCCCCTACAGAAATCCTTTCAGGATCAAATCAGTCAATCCTAAAAGAAATCAACCCGGACTGTTCCCTGGAAGGCCAGATAATGAAACTGAAGCTCAAACATTTTGGCCGCCCAATGAGAAGGGAGCACTCCCTGGAGAAGAAGACCCTGATGCTGGGAAAGATTGAAGGTCAAAGTAGACGGGGACGGCAAAGGAGGAGATGGTTAGACAGTGTCATGGATGCAACGAACATGAAGTTGAGCCAACTTCAGAGGACGGCGGAAGACCGGAAGGCCTGGTGTGATCTGGTCCATGGGGTCGTGGAGAGTCGGACTCGACTGTGCGACTGAACAGCAACAAATCCAGCCAATATTAGGCCCCGGTCACATGAGCAAGATAATCTGGGGGGGGGGGAGCGAGGCATTTTGCTCCGGAGCAAAATGAAGCACGGTATCGCGATCAGGTGTTCCCCCAGGGGCTCCATGCTCAGGCTGTCAGCCACCGATCACACGTTGATGGTGCAGCGTGGCAAAGGAGGGCGAGGTGGTTTTTGTGCGCATACCACGGAGGCGTAAAAAAAATCTGGTGGGACACAGACGGGCACCGGATATGATGGGATACCACTGCTTCCGCAATCAGACGCCCGCCTGCGCTGCACATTTTCCGGAAAATACTGCACTTTTTACTCCGCGTCTTTGGCAGGGCGATACGGGTTGCCGACGGGTGCAGGACAGTTGCCAGATGTTCCCATGTGATCGTGCCCATAAAATCCACCCGGCATTCGTCCCCATCGCCCGGCTAATTCTGCGCGTGACCGGGACCTTAGTTGACTATTGTTATTTCTAGCCATCACAACAGAGAACCTTAAACTAGCAAGTGAAAACAATCAATGTCTTCCCGTGAACAAATGTCTTCTCCAAAGCCAGACGAAACATGGGGGGGAGGGGAAGCCTGTTGGATAATCAGTCTCTGACATGTCTCTTACAAAGCAAATCCTACCGCGCTTGATGCAATTTACTCTCCAGAAAGTATGTTTAGGATTGCAAGGTTCCAATGCAATCCCAGGTGGAGTTATACACCCTTCTAGATCTATGGAAGGCTGTAACTCCTGAATTGCAATTACAGCTGCTTGGAAAGGCATTCTAGTGAATGGGCCTCACTTCTGAAAAAAGAAGGCTAGGATCAGACTGCATGTGGTCTAAAATGACAAGCAACTGAGGCATTTGTTTAGTTAGGTGTTACCTGAGGAATTCACACACCCCACTTCCTGTTGTCTTGATGCCTCTAACTCCTGGCTGACCAAGTGTGATTTATCAGTTGCGGCCAGGTGGTAAACTGTACACAATAATTCATAGATGGGCTCAAAAGGGATCATAACAATTGGCAATTAGTCCGAAATCACGATGAGAAATACTTCTGTTAAGACTGAGTGACAGAGCTGTGTCACTCAGAAGTGAACAAAATATATATATATAAACCAGACCAGCCAGACCTAAATTTCAAATTTTGGACTGCAATCGCGTACTGTAGCAGTCAGGTAAAGGTAAACGTTTCCCTTGCTCGAAGGCCAGTCGAGTCCGACTCTAGGGTTGTGGTGCTCATCTCCGTTTCCAAGCCGAAGAGCCAGCGCTGTCCGAAGACGTTTCCGTGGTCATGTGGCCGGCATGACTAAACTCCAAGGCGCACGGAACGCTGTTACCTTCCCACCGAAGTGGTACCTATTTATCTACTTGCAATGTCTTGCTTTCGAACTGCTAGGTTGGCAGGAGATAGTTGTTAGCAGTCAAGAGGCCACCAATTTCCATAAAATGCCAATGGCCTCATTCTTTAACATGGCTCTCAGAGCATGCTTATATGAGGGATCAGCCAGCGTTCCCTCTAAGCTGAGTTAGTGTGAGCTAGCTCACAGTTCTTTACAGTCTTGTTTCACTATAAAGTGTCCTCCTGGACTGCTCCCTTCCAGTGTTCCCTGTAAGCTGAGTTAGTGTGAGCTAGCCCACAGTTCTTTAGCCTCCGGCTCACAGATTTTGGTCTCCGCTCAGGAAGGATGGGGCTCCAGAGCAAAGTAATTTAGGCAGTAGACGAATCGCTCGCTCACAAGTTTAATGCCGGGAGCTCACAAAGTAGATTTTTTGCTCACCAGACTCCACAGCTTAGAGGGAGTATTGATGGCAGCAGAACCCAACAGCGTTCCGTGCGCCTTGGTGTTTAGTCATGCCGGCCACATGACCACGGAAACGTCTTCGGACAGCGCTGGCTCTTCGGCTTGGAAACAGAGATGAGCACCGCAACCCTAGACTGGCTTTCGAGCAAGGGAACCTTTACCTTTACCTTACACGGGGAAAGGATCACCATCTTAAAACTGCGAGAGTTTCGCGTCTCCTTTTAAGGAGAGGGCATTAACGGGAAAAGAGAAGGGCGCACGCCAGGTCTGACAGTTCCCTCTTGAATTCTGTTAAGCGACTTGCGCATTAAGTAGGCAAAGGGCGGCTTCCTGGACTAGAGAAGCATGCATTTAAAAAAAAAAAAACAACACCAAGAGATGCAAAGCAAAAGAGAAAAAGAAACTCACCAACTGGCGCCTCTCAGTGCAGCGTCTCTCCACGGGAGCCACATCCAAACTCCCAGCGTCGGAAACAACGATGCCTGTTATATATTTTTTTCAAGCCTGGCAGACCGCAGAAGCCGGTAGTGGTTAGAGGAGGCGCCTGGCATTAGGGGATCTGCAGTCAGGTCGTCCGGGAGGTTCTCGCTAACTTATGACAACAAGACCAACGAGGGACTCTCTTTCCCAGCCTCCCTTGCGCTCAGAAATTCCCGGGGTATGCGGGGGAGGTTTTCGTCTGGAGATGGGTGGCGCCTATTTGCTGTCATAATAGGTTCGGGTTCTCTGTGCAAAGCGGGCTTCTGCGCAAACAACTTTAAAACGAGCGGTGAATTTTAGGCTTGCTGTCGGCTATCCTGCCATTTAAAATAGTTTATTATATATATATATATATATATATGTGTGTGTGTGTGTGTGTGTGTGTGTGTGTGTGTGTGTGTGTGTGTGTGTGTGTGTGTGTGTGTATGTGTATGTGTGTGTATATATGTGTGTGTGTGTGTATGTACGTATGTGTGTATGTATGTATGTGTGTATGTATGTATGTGTGTATATATATGTATATATAGTATATATATGTATATGTATATATATATACATACATATACACATATACACACACACACACACACATATA